AAAATATGACACTAAATAGGATGCAATGGAGAAAAAGGATTCATGTAGCCGCCCCCACGTAGTGGGATTAAGGCTTTGTTGTTGTTGTTGTTGTTGTACGAGTTAATTACAGCCAACAACCTGAGGAGGTTCGAGCCAACTCCCGCTAGACTTATGTCGGTGAAGGATACCGTATCCTATTGTTCATCAAATGTCTGGATCTTGATGTTATAGGATAGGGCATCTTTCTGCTCTATCTTCGGTGTGCCTTTATCATCAACACCCTACGCCCTAAAACAAACTACTTGCGTCCTTGATTGATGGTTTCACGTATAACAAAAGGCTATACGTGGACACTTATGCATCGGATATAAGCATCGAAAACCGAACCAAGAAGCAAGGAAAGAAAAGAACAAAAATGGGGTGAGAGAAAGGAGACACTGATCCATCTAAAACACTGAAAAGGAGAATGAGTCAGCTCTAAAAAAAAACTCCTATAATCTAATAAGCAACTCCTATCAAACACACCTGGAAAAGTAGGGCCCGAGGTCTTTCCTAACAAAGATAAAAATGCGACTTTGCGTTGATTTTTCAAACCCCAAAGATGTAGGATTAATCAAATTAACCGAATGCTCTCCCAAATAAAGCTTGCAAATCTTCCCAAAATCCCAAAGTTGATATCAAAATCTTCCAACCTCCAAATTAATCCATAGCCTCACATATCAAATAAGCATAAAATCTTCCTATATAACCAAATAAATGCTCACGATCGGCGTTACTACAAAGAGATAAACAACAGGTAAGGCTCTCGGCCAGGGCAACAAAAAGGAAAGGGGGGAGCTATTAAAGCTCACGGCTAAAGAAACCCAAAGCCAAAAGAGGCTCACGGCTAAAGACAACAAGGAACAACTGCTAAAGCCCACGACCAAAGGCGACCAAAGGCAACCCAAGGCACAAATAGGGCTCACGGCTAAGGCAACCAAAAGAACCACCAGTGACTACTATATTCCTTCGGCATACATAAGAGGATAAATGAGATAATTATAATTTTTTGGATGACAAACTTGATTCATCAATAACATTCAAGCCATTCAAACCCAACGAGAAGGACCGAATCACACCAAACAAACTCCAATAGGTCTCACGAGTAGTGGCTGTAAGAGGAGTGAATCCCAATGGTGAGCTCACAGGCAGGACCAAAGGGGAAGGCAAACTCAACCACATCACAAACCCACGGCTAGGGACCAAGCAAACATCAAACTGCAGTCTTATAAACTTCCAAAACCGTAGGAGTCAAAGGCCAATGAAAATCAGAACCCAAACCACCCCTCGGGTAGGGGCAGGACAAGGCAAAACCGAGCCACAGTCAGAGGCAAACCGAGCCACAGCTAAGGCTCGAACCCCGGCCACAACAAGGACTAGAAAACATCTCTATGCCTTCAAGACATCAAAATATAGGACGACCATATGTCTCAAACAAGAACAACTATGGAAATCCAAATTCAAAATAAACTTTTCCACAATATGTATAATTAAGCCAAAGGACA